TAGCCCAGGCTGGCCTCGAACTCACAGAGATCCACCTGGCTCTGCCTCCCGAGTGCTGGGATTAAAGGCGTGCGCCACCACCGCCCGGCCCATAAAATTATTTTTGTTGCTACTTCATAACTGTAATTTTGCTACTGTTAGGAATTGTAATGTAAATGGTTTTTGGAGACAGAGGTTTGCCAAAGGGGTCACAACCTTGCATGTTGAGAACTGCTGGGCTACGCGATGATTGTGTCAAGAAGGAAAAACTGATGCAGGCGTGGGGGTACTTTATTGGATATCTCCGTTCCCAAATACAAGAAACAGATTGAGTAAATGTCAGTAAACTGTCACTTAAGGTTGCTAAAATGTAAAAAGGCAAATCAACTAACCAACTGAAAATACCCTACCTTAAGAAAATAGCCCATAATAGGTGAAGTCATTGCTAAGTCACCCTGGGAATATTGAATAAGGAACGTGCTAGGATCCTAATGGCACCCCAATCCTCATGGGTTCTGCAGATTGAGCGTTCTGATCCAGCATTCTAACCTGATTTGAAACGCCTTCCTCTCATTGCGGGTGCTCTTCTACAATCACTGAACTTGCTTTTCCATGCTCCCCCCCCCCCCCACACACCAGACAGCTCAGATTTCTCCCTGGCAGATTGTCCGAGTGTTACTAGCTCACATGTGCTACCTAATTCGTGCTACGCTTTTGTTTTCCTTCCTTTTTTGATAATCACAGCTAGCCCCAGGTGGGGCTGGCCTTCAGCTTATGGTGCTTCTGAACCAGCTTACCTTTTGAAATTTGGAAACACGGCAGTTGTTTGTGTCAGCAAAACCAATTAATGGTTGCCTGCTGTGTTAGGTCCATGCAAGTTTAATCTTACTTGATCCTGTCATTTCCAATATTTTAATGCAACTTATTTTCTAACTAGGTACATGTGAAGATATTTTGGCAGTTGAGTGTGACCTCTGCTGATCACATTGCTCTGATTTCTACCTGTTCTGTGTTGGCAAAGGAACACGCCCAAATGAGCAAGCTGCCGCAGCCAGCCACTACTCCAGGAGTGAACGGAATAAGTGTCATTCATACTCAGGCACATGCCAGTGGCTTACAGCAGGTTCCTCAGCTGGTGCCCGCCGGGCCTGGGGGAGGAGGCAAAGCTGTGCCTCCAAGCAAGCAAAGCAAAAAGAGTTCACCCATGGATCGCAATAGTGACGAGTATCGCCAGCGCAGAGAGCGGAACAATATGGCCGTGAAAAAGAGCCGATTAAAAAGCAAGCAGAAGGCTCAAGACACACTGCAGAGAGTGAACCAGCTCAAGGAAGAGAACGAACGCTTGGAAGCCAAAATTAAGTTGCTGACAAAGGAATTAAGTGTACTGAAAGATTTGTTTCTTGAGCACGCACACAACCTCGCAGACAACGTGCAGCCCATCAGCACTGAAACCACAACGACAAATTCTGATAACACGGGGCAGTAGATCCTTCCAGACAGCACAGCTTTGTGGCGTGAACGTGGAGGTGGGACCACCCTGCACCACTTGGTTCAGTGCTGAGCGTGGTCCTGTTCCATGGAGGTTATTTTCTCGGCTCAGCACTGAACAGTTGATTAGCCAGGTAGTTTATCTGGTCTTAAATGATAATGGATTTTTGAAGCACTAAAAGAAAACTTGGGTTTATGGTTAAAACAAAATTCTTGGACCTTAATATTCTTAATAAATCCTGACTTCCCCAGAAATGCTTCTTTTCTAGGAATGGGAAAATGGAAGGTCATATAGAAGGTTTTGGGTTTTAATGAGACAATACCTTGGATTAAGAAAAGCTGGATTCCATCTGTGTTCCTTGACTTGTGATTTTAGTCTAAATTGTGTATTGTAAATTCTAGGGCTTCAGAAACCAATCATCATAATTTGGCCCCATTTTATAGTTAGTATAAACCTGTGTTAGCATAATTGGCATTGTTTTTCCCAACAAATACATATTTTTAAAAAAATAACTTCAGGCAAAGTAAAGAAACCCCATTCAGGTCACACCAAAGAGGTGGTTAAAAATACAAATTATATTTAGGAAGGAAAGAAGTGTTTTGTTTGTTTTTTCCTCCCTTGTTTGTTTTAAAGGCATAGAGAGTGGATTGAACTCGGGTCCTTTGGTCTACTGGATTAGCATTCTCATGTGTCCTTCAAAACCAGCATCTACTGTGTGCTGACATTTAGTGTCTGTGCATGCTAGTAAAGGGAGTGTTTGTTTGGAGGGGAGAAACCATTTTTTGACAGCCAAGTTAGTAAATAAAATGCCTTGGCTTGATGATACAGACCATGATTTAGAATACTAGTTTATGCTGGGCATGGTGGCACAAGCTTTAGTCTGAGCACTCAGGAGGCAGAGGCAGGAAGATCTCTTGAGTTCAAGGCCAGCCTGGTCTACAGAGTGAGTTCCAGGACAGCCAGGACTACAGAGAAACCCTGTCTCAAAAACAAAAGCAACAAAAAACAAACAACAACAAAAAAGAATACTAATTCTTTTGGTAGAATAACTGCCAACGGGGCCATGCTTTTTAAGGGCAGAGGTTTTTTTTTTTTTGTGTGTGTGCTTGTGTGAAGAGGCACATTTTGGTATTTGATCTCAAATAAATGATTATTAGAAAAATGTATCAACTTCATGCCATCTCTCAAAAGACTAGTCAAAGAAAACTTGAAAGTATAAGGTTTCAATCTTTAATTTATTTCCTAAATCTTTTTATTTTTATTTTTTATTTTTTTGAGGAATTTCTTTTCTAGTTTAGTGAGGTGTTCTTCCAGACTTCATGTGGTGTTGCCTCTGTTTATCCATTAGTATGCTTGTATGTTCTGTATAAATTATTTGAGAGAAAATGCTGATAAGACTCAGGATATTGACTTTTGTGTTGTGAAACTGACAAGCCAGTAGGGTATCTCTAGGGCCTGCTTTTATCAGTGTTGTAGTTTAGATTGTCTTGCACAGTTCCAGCTAAAGTTTGTTGGTTCCTGAGATGGTGACTAAAACACGAGTCTTGCATGATCACAGTTTGTGTTGCCGGGAATCTTGTTTGAACATGGTCATTTCTGGTCCTGTTTCCTACTAAGACTTGGTTACTGTAACCTCAGTGTAACTCAGGTTGCTCCCTGAGTGTGACAGAAGAGTGTGGACTCTGTTCTCCTGTGCAGAAGCTATTGGTGCCCTGCAGCTCAGCATAGCCTTTTAGGGCCACTGTGCCGAAGACAGGAGTCAACACTGTTTTTAGGGAACCAAGAAATGAATGGGGTTTTTAAAAGTTAGGGTCCAGCACCAGTTTACCTTGGTTGGAATAGCCATCTGCTCATAAAGATTGATAGATGTTTTGTATAACTAACAAGGATGCACCCATACAATCCTAATCTACCAGCGGATTGATATTATGTAATGAACTTACTGGGAGATAGAGTTAGGTCCTACTTGAACATACAGTAGGCATTCAGACATTGGATCTCCTACTTCCAAAGACTAGCTTTCACAAATGGACATTCTCGTGGAATTGTGCTTACTGGTGCAAGGACTTAAGCCATTGGGAAGGCAGTGCTCAATATTTCTAATCAGAACATCCACATCAGTCCTACCTGTGCTCTTACCTTTGCAAATCAGATCATTAGCACAAGCAAGCAGTTCCACATAGAACACATTGTCAGCTGGCCTTTGGACTGTCTTACTGAAGGGGAAATAATGTTGAGCTTGATAGAGTTCTCAGTGTAAAATGAGGGAAACTAGGTTTGGGGAGTGGGTAAGCGTAGGACTTTGGAAATTGTAAAGTGGCTTTGGTAAGTCGTCACTGGGGAACCTTTAGAGTTTGATCTGCCTTGCGGACAGGTCTGGTGGTTTAGGAGTCAAGCTATAGCGTGGATTAGCCACACCTGTGTTACCTGGGATGGGTGCCCTTGACTAGTTTGGGGTACGGAGTTTTGGGTGCGTCTGGCTCTTTGTGTCAGGTGATTTTGGAATCTTAAGGATTTTACTAAAATGACCTGGGGTTTGAAATCCAGGTCATGAGCCCACTCATTTTGTACAGTTCTCAATCTATGAAAGTAGAAACATGTACAGTTTGATAAGAAAGGCAGCGACTCTTAATGTTTCTTACTCCCCCGCCCCGCCGTCCCTCCCCCACCGGAGGGCTGAAGCCTTGTGCCTCAACAACCCACGGAGCACCTGGGGTGCTTCGGATGCCTTAGCAATGATGCCTGTGTGTGCGACAGGCTAGGGAAGATTCCATACAGCTAATCAGATCTGCCTCTCAGGAAAAATACTAACTTGTTCTTTTTGTTCCTGGCTTTCAGTTTGTGAGATTACTCTATTTTTTTAAATATAATTTTATTTCTTTCAACGAATTTAAAAATAAATACCTTTGGAACAATGACTGGTTTTCTTTGTGAGTTTCTTTATCTTGGAGGTGAGCAAGAAGTTCATTTGTAATTGGCCCCTAAGAACCTGCAAGGTACCTCCTGCTGCTGTCCTGGGCGGGGGACGTGGACCAGCAGGCTGCTTTTGCGCAAGTTTGGATTTCCCTGAGTAGACAGTGAAGTAGTTTTCTCTAAACTTGGACTGTATTTTCAGTTGTTTGTAGTTGTTTGGTCTAACTTAAAACTGCATCCTGGAGCAGGGACATGACGAAAGGGGCTGTCTCCTGGTGGTTGGAGCCTATGGTTCCATCTGAGGCCTGTCCCTAACAGTACAGTTGAGAGTAAATATCATCTTTACTTACATGGTACCTGGGTATGGAAGTGAGTTAGCTGCTTTCAGAAATATCGTGAGTCCAAGAAATCAGTTTGAATTGTGTGTTTGAAGAAAAAAAAAAAATAGATGCTTTCCTCTGATTCTTTGAGTCTTTTTGTGTTTGGGGAACTAAGTTCCAATTATTCCATGATTGTGAAAATTGTGTGACTGAGTGTGGTGGCTCATGTTTGTAATCCCAGCATTATGGAGATGAAGGATTTGGTTGGTGGTGGCGCACGCCTTTAATTCCAGCACTCGGGAGGCAGAGGCAGGCTGATCTCTGAGTTCGAGGCCAGCCTGGTCTACAGAGTGAGCTCCAGGACAGCCAGGGCTCCACAGAAAAACCCTGTCTCAAAAACAAAATAAAAAACAAAAGTTGTAGGTGTGTTCTATCCTACTTCGTTTGAATGAATTAGTTGTGAATTTTTGGTTTTAGTTTTAGTGAGATGTTCTCATGTAGCCAACGCTGGCCATCAGCTTGATAAGCAGCCAAGTATGGCTTTGAACTTCCAACCTTCCTGCCTCCACCTCTCAAGTGCTAGGATTACAGGTATGTACCACTACATCTGGTTTTATGTGACACTGGGGCTTGAACCTGGGGCTTTGTGTATGTTAGGTGAGTACTCTACTAACTGAGCTAGAATCTCCCGCTCTAGTTGGAGTTTATTGCTAATAACTTGTATTAGAAAATTTTATACTTTGTGATGAAACCAGGTCTTAATAAAAACACTTTTAGAATGACCAGTTCTTGAAGTGCCTGTACATATCTGAAGAGTATCTTAACTGTACCTTGTGCAATAAAAAAAAAAAAAAAAAGTCCCACCCCAAATTGTCTTGTGCCACAGCTTGTCCCCTACTCTTAGCCCTCCCTTTGAAGCAGCTGTCAGGTGCTCAAGTGGGACTTCAGTGTAGCCCTGGAACCTGCCTGCTTCAGACCCCTACCACTCAATCCTGTCCAGCTCAGAGGCGGCACCCTCTCCTGCATGGACTTGATGCCTCATGGTTCTTCCTGGATGGCAGTGTATCACACGCTCTCCAGAACCTCCTCTGCTTCCTAGTCCTGGTATGTGGCCCCTTCCTTCATCCTCTCCATTCTCCCTGCCACCTCTTGCAGCTCTTTGTTTGGAATGCAGCATCTCTTTTCACTTCAAACCCTTCTTGGTCTATTCTTACAAGGCCTCTGTACAAGGCCAATCCTGTTCTTTTCCTTTCTTTCATTGTCTGAGGCAATACTGATGTTGTACTGTTGAAGCAAAGCTTCAAAGGAGACTTCAGGCCCTGAGCATATGGATTGTGCTCATGTCTCATGGAGTAGATGCTCAGTTAATACTGGGCCCTTCCAGAGTGTGGGGAAGGCTTCAGCACTGCAGAACTTTCTGGAAGGGTCTCTAATCCAATTTTGAAGCTATACAAATTTCTGCAGAAGTTGGAGTGATGGATACAGCTTTAGGAACATGGGATAAAGTTAGCCCAAGTTTACCCGTACTGCCATGTCTAATGGGGATGGGCCATCTGTACCAATGAAACCCTAAGATCGGATGTTGTAAACCTAAGAAGTAAATGAGATAAATGGTGCTTTGGGACTGAGATCAGCATTTGTTTCTCTGGTGGCTTTTATTTTCTTGTGGCCACATCATAAGCACTTTTGTGTTATTGCCATAGGAAGAAGCCAATTTCTAGTGAATAAACCCTTTGGTGGCTGCTTGAAAAGTCTCTAGCTTGGACCAGTTTTTTTTTTTTTTTCTCCATTACAGCTCCATTTATTTTATTTTTAAACTTTATTTATTTTGGAGTCACGATCTCTATATAGTCCTAGCTGGCCTGTAACTCAATAGAGATCAGCCTGCCTGTTTTGAGATAAGGGTCTCGTGTCCCAGGCTGGTCTTAAATTCACTGTGTAGCCAAGGATGACCTTGGATTCCTGATCCTCTGCCTGCAGTCTCCCAGTCCTGGGATCACAGGCATGGCAGTACTAGGGAGGGCACCCCACTGAGCCACACCCTGGTGGAACCTTTCTCACTTGCAACCCAGAACTGTATCGATTTTGAAAGCCAGCTCTGGGGGCGGGGCAGGTCCCTAGGACTGAGACACTGTCAAGCAGAGAGGAGGACAAGTGTTCCACCATGGGCAGGCACAGCTGGGCCCACGAGGCTTACAGCCTTGGGATGGAATTGGGTCAGTAGACTATTGGGGGTGGTGGTACAACAGACAGATTGGGTAGCAGGCTCTCCTGTGCCACCCTGCTGCTAGGCAGGCAGTGCTGCTGCCGACGCGCTCCATCTTTACTAGTATAAAAATGAGATCAAGGCCCCAGGACCTCCTACCAAATGCCCTCGTGGTTCTGGTGCCTGCTGGCTTGGGAACAGTGTGCACTAACTTCAGCAGAACCCCTGGGGCTCAGTGGAAGCTCCTGGTGGAGGACTCCCCTGGGTCTCCCAGACCAGTCCAAGGCAGAGGCAGAGGGCACAGGGCCTTGTGGGCACTCCTGGGAGCAGAGCAGACTCCTGCAGCTGACACCTGGTGAGCCATCTTCTTGGCCCATGGCGCTCATGCTCTTCTAGGAAGGAGGAAAGGAAGCCGCTGGGTACAAAGGGCCATTCAGAAAAGCTTTTATTGCAAATTCCATTCTGCACATTGATTGTTTTGGAGAAGACATAAATGCATCCTTCCTGAGCACATAGATATAAATGGCAGCAGGAGAACTGAGTTGTGACTTAAGAACAGGATTTTTTTCAATCAACAGTCATTTAAGCAAAGTCAAGGTTAGGGATGTGATCTTGCAGGTTAATAAAATGCTGTCCTCCCTTGGAAACGGCAGTGATGGTTTTGTAGGATCAATTGTGAGCTCCAGGATCTGATTGCTGATGGGGTGCCATGGGCAGGCTGACATCACAGAGAAGGTTCACAAGGCCAGCACCCAGCTGCTCTACTTTGGGCCAGAGGAGGGTGTAAAGGCCTTGTCACAGCCTGCCATGCATGCTTCAATTTCCTCCACGGTCCTCGGGACACAGGTCAGCAGCTCCATGCCACTGTTAGTCACGACAACATCCTCCTCGATACGGACCTGCGTCACACAGACAGGATGCCATCATGTCCCTGCTGCCTTAATTTGTCACATTAGTGCCAACCTGCTCCAGCTTGACTGCTACCTGGGGGAAGCTCTCTGAGGGATGGGACTAGTCTCTGTGACAGGACAGACTGGTCTCAGAGCCTCTGGGGAAGACACAGGGGGAGGCTTCTGTGTGGTCCTTTGCTTATACTGTGCTCCCATGGAGCCTCTGGGACTGGTAGGCTTTTTGAAGAATCTCTTCCTGTTGAGAGGCAAGGTATCTGTGACAGCCCACATAATAAAGGGTGTGGCCAGGCCTAAACACAGTCACCTGCCCTTCCACCTTTCTCCCAGGCACCAGTGGGGTGGTGGACATTCTGGGAATAAGAATGTGGGGCCCCCAGCTACTCACCCCACCAAAGTTGCGGAAGCGCTGCAGGACCTCGTGGTTGAAGAAGCAGGCTTGGGCTGGGTCTGCCAGGGCCTGGTCCAGGAGGTGGTCGATGAAGTAGATTCCTGGCTCCACGGTCAGCACCATGCCTGGCTCCAGGTGCCTTGCTGTGCGCAGACTCCGCAAGCCAGGCTCATCAATGCGCTCTACACCCTGGAGAGAGAGACGGAACCCAACTGAACACCCCAAGGCTGGCTATCAGGATTGAGAGGCAGCCAGACAGGATTGGCTCCAGCCCCCTGGGTTCTTCTGACTAGAGTGTATCCAGCCCAGTCTGACCACAGGAACCCTCTGCCCTCTCTGTCCACACCTGTATTCAGGGCATTCTGACCCTTGGCTACCCTCAGATCTGCCTTCAGGACATTGCTAATGCACACACACAGGACCAAGCTGCCAGGGAGGCCCACAGGGCTGGCTGGGTGTCTAGCTGCCCTCACTCAGGCCCTTCTGCAGGTCAGAAGCTAAACCAGGGAAGCCAAAAAAGCTCTTAGGGGGTGCATGGCCTGCAGGCCTTCCTCGTCATATCTTCCAGGACTGGAATGGCTCCTGCAGGTCAAGTCGGCCTTTTCAGTAGAGAAAGGGACAGGCCATCAGGACGGGCCTGTTACCACCCGTACTGGCATGTAAGTGCCTGCTTGTGTCCAGCCTACACCTGGGCCCTCGGGAACAGCCCTGTGACCGTGCTGCGATTCTGCCCTGCTCCTCCAGCTCCCCGGGCAGTCATCGGGCCTGTGGCCAGGGCCTCTGAGCAAGTGGGCAGCAGAGTAAGCTTTCTGGTCAGGATCTAGTTTGCCCTGCCCTACTTGTGGCTCCTCCAAGGACGCCCAGCTGCTGGAGACGGAGCTGTCATTTCTGACTGTTTGGGGGCCAAGAACATCAGTCTTCAATTAGCGGTTCACGTAAGGTAACCAGAAACAGGCTGGCTTGGCCTCCAAGGCTGGGCACAGCAAGGAGGTCTGTGACTGGGATTCTGTGAGGGTAGGGACAGCCACTGTGACCTGGTGTGAGCAGGCAGGATGAAGGTGAGGATGGGACACAAAGGACCCCGCCTCTTGTGGGCCATGCTCTGGAAGAACCCCGGCTGGCCATTGTCAGCCTTGCAACACTAGCCTCTGGACCAACAGGCGCAGAGGCTGTGGGGGAGGAGGATGCTCCTCAGAAGGCCCCAGGCCTCTGCTCAGGTGGGAGGTGCCTCTTGGGTGTGTGTGTGTGTGGGGGGGGGGTAGCACACTGGAACTCAGGGTTTTGAGCATGTTTGGTGAGTTGCCACTGAGCTTACACCCAGTAGGCCCATTCGTTCCATCCTGTTCTGTGGGTGCGGAGGGGGTACAGCTTCCTGCCACTTAGGAGAGTTTAGACTCATTACTCCAACTGAGGTTAGGGGAGACTGGAGGGGATACCTGTCTGAGCAGCTGCCCCGGGTCTGCTGGGTTAGGGATGTGAGCTGGTCCAAGTGACCTACAGGCCAAGGATGGGGTGCCAGCTATGTTAGGGTGTCAACTATGCTAGGGGTGTCCATGCCTGCTGCTCTGCCTGGGCAGAGGGGGCTCTGAGAAGAGACCCAGATGTGTCTGGAGGCCTGAAATAAACGACTTTTATAGGAAAAGCCATATTTTTTCCACAGTGTTTATCTGTCAGAAGAATAGACTGAGCACAAAGGGCCGCTTACTGGAAAAGATGAAAACAGTGTGCTGCCAAGTCTCTTCGGTGGAAAAAAGGACTTTGGCGACTAATGAATAACGAACCTCAACTAACAATGTCTGGAAGGGCCTGCTCTTGGCTCCCTGCACACAATAGGATGGACAGAAATTAGGAAATTAAAACTGATTTTGTTTCTCCAAATTTAACTGTTTACACTTGAGAAAAAAATAATTGAATAATAATGCTTCTCTTGAGCAATCCCCCCCTCCCCCAAAATCATTCTTAGTGCTTTCAAAATACCCCACAGCCAAGAGGCTGGGTCTAGTCTTGGCTAACTGGCTGGTGGGCCCCAGGGAGTGCATAATTGCACAATCCGCCCCCTGCACGGTGGGCACCAGGCCAGGCTGGGCAGCAGGAACAGGCCCTGAGGGGCTGTAGCCACCTGCCCAGTAGGGCTGCCCAGGAGCCCTTAGGCACCCACTGGGTGGTCCTTCGAGCTGTCAGTAAGAGGAGAGGGAGCCCTGTCTGAAGATGCCCTTCAAGCCTTCCTCTCCTGCCAGAGGCCCAGGAGGCAGGGGGTGAGCCAGCTAGGGCGCTGGAAAGGGGTCTGCTGCCGAGCTTCTAAGGGCTGGAGCAAGCAGGAGTGAAGGACACGCAGGGTTTGCTGGAACTCTGTCCCTATCTCGGGGAACCTCTGCACAGATGCTGTCACAGCTGTGTCTTGAGGCCGTGCAGGCAGAGGCACCACCCCAAGTCTGAAGTCTGTGCAGCCGCTGGGGAAGATCACCCACCGACCCACCGTGCTGTCCAGGGACCCCCAATTCCTGTGTGTCAGAGAGAGACCCATCCCTCCTGTTTTCCTACATCTCCAGCAACATCCCCTACCCCCCAAACCCACCTCACTCTATCCCAGTAAGGGCCGGCTCAGGGAGACCAGTGTGCACACTGACCTCAGGGTAGCCTCCCACGTCGTGCACATCTAGGCCCAGGAAGTGGCCGAGCCCATGGGGCATGAACACTGCCCCCAGGTGGACCTGGAGCATGGCATCCACACTGCCACTCAGGAGGCCAATGCGGGTCAGCTCCTCCAGGTGGATCCGGTCAGCCAGCCGGTGCATGTCAGGCCACCAGACACCTGTGGTTAGGGAGAGGCCGTGATAAGCCAGGGCTCTACAGACCAAGGGGTGAGGGCCCAGACTGAGGTGGGCCTGAAGTGAGGACAGGGGTGCATGCTGGGGACTGAGTGGATCCAGACAGCCTTGGAAGCTCAGGATCCTGAGACTGCATCATACAAGCTTCGCCACCCAAAGACAGGCCTGGCTATGTCCTCTCAAGCACAGAAGCGAGTGACTCAGGCCTCACAGAAGGCGTCAGCCTGGGCTTTGCTGCTGGAGAGGGGCAGGGAAGGCCTGTGGCCTGGGCGAAGGCCTGTGGCCTGGGCGAAGGCAGGCCTGCCCATCCCAGAACGGCGGACTCAGTCTGGAAGCTGCTGTGGGAACATAGGTTTCGGGGTGAAGGAACAGCTGGCCTGGCCTCATCCTCTGGTGGGCAGGGGTCTGGAACCATTTCCATGGTTGCCTGGATGGCTAAGCCCAGGCTGCTAATCAAATTCATCTCTGCCCCATGTTTCTGCGGCAAAGGTCACCATGGAGCCTCCTGTGCTGGCTGGTTTATGCCATCTTGACACAGGCTAGTTATCTGAGAGCAGAGAACCTCAATCAAGAAAATGCCTCCCGGGACTGGACCTGCCTGGACTGAGTCTACCAGGTTGATCGCAGTCCTCGGGGAAGGCTTTGCCCTGGAGGAGATGGGAAAGGGGGGAGGGGGGCTGGAGGTAAGGGAAGGGGGTGGGAGGGGGGAGAACAGGGGAACCCGTGGCTGATATGTAGAACTGAATGGTATTGTAAAATAAAATAAAAGGGGGGAAAAAAAAAGAAAAAGAAAAAGAAAATGCCTCCATAAGGTCAGGCTGCAGGGAAGCCTGTAGGGCACTTTCTTAATCTGTGATTGATGGGGGAGGGCCCAGCCCACTGTAGGTGGTACCATCCCTGGGCTGTGGTCCTGGGGTCCATAAGAGAGCAGGCTTTGTAAGCCATGAGGAGCAAGCCAGTAAGCAGCACCCTCCATGGCCTCAGCATCAGCTCCTGCCTCCAGGTTCCTGCCCTGTTTGAGTTCTGCCTTGGCTTCTTCAGTGGACTGTGATTCTGGACGTGAAAGCCAAATAAACCATTTTCCCCCCAAGTTGCTTTGGGGGTGCTTCATCACAGCCACAGAAACCCCAAGACACCTCCCGTGCACATAGCCTCAGGGGCCAGACAGGCTTTGTGGATCTGAGGCTTAAGGACCGAGCCAATGAGCACTGCTTCACTAATAAGCCCTGCAGGGCCTCGGGCAGATCGGGCTGCCCTGCCTGCTATGCAGTCTCCTCCAGGGAGGGCACCCCACAAGGACCCAGGTCACAGTCAGAGGGTAGAGGACAGCACTGACCCCCCTGCCAGGTCAATGTTAGTCCTATGAGTGGAATGTCAACCCCCAAAGGCCTCCCTGCCACCACATCACCCTACCCCTTGATGAGCAATGCTGTAAGGGGATGGTGGGGAACCCTACGTAATTCAAGGTTCTACAGCAGTGGTTCTCAGCCTGTAGGTCACAACCCCTCTGGGGGTCAACCCTTTCACAGGGGTTTCATCAGATATTTACATTACGGTTCATAACAGTAGCAAAATTACAGTTACGAAGTAGCAACGAAATAATGTGATGGTTGGGGGTCAGCACAGCATGAGGAGCTGTGTTAAAGGGTCCCAGTGTTAGGAAGGGTGAGAAGCAGTCTACAGGATAATGAACCGGAAAGGGCCAGGCCCAGAAGCTCCATGGCTGACAGAAGGCTGGTGAGGGGTCCCTTTCCTTGCCAGAGATGCCCCCCAGCAAGGCTGGCAGGACAGGGTCTTGCAGAGGGGGTGAGGCTGCAAGGCTAGTTCATAGGGTGCTGTGGCCCATGGCCCAAGCTGTATGTGTGGAGAGGTGGAAGAAGTTTGGCTCTGAGGGGGAGCCAGCCTCCCTAGAGTCTAGAATCTGCTAGTGGGCAAGCCTGGGGAGCTTCTGGTTATTGCTGCCTCATCATCTGGGGCCCTCCAACCCAGTCTGTATTTGTGAATGGTTGGCATTTCAGAAGTGGAGGCCGGGCAGGTGGGGCCCCTGCTATCACTCACGTGCTGTGACCTGAGCAAGCTGTCCTGAGTCCCTGACCTACAGGTGCTATCTGTCCCTGTCCAAGAGCCCCAGCGTTGGCCCAGGAAGAGGCCTAGTCTGGCATCTCCAGCACCAGCCACTAATGATCTATCACCTACGACCAGCCAGAGCCTGGTTTCAGCACTCTGGCCACAGTGCTCTAGCTGTGTGAGTCAAGTCTACCCCACTCTGGCTGCTGTTCTTCCCTAAGACCCAAGTGGCCAAGCCTGGGGGACTCTCCAGAGACCAGGTTACCTTCTGCTCTAGAAGCACACAAGGTCTTCCCCCGTTACACTGGGGCCTAGGCCTTGATTAGACTAGCCTTGACAGGTGGTGGGTGGCATCCCAACATCAATGTTGCCCCCCCTAAAGACACCCCCCTCACTGCTGCTCCTTGTACACTCCCTGACACAGCAGCTTAATTGCTTCTCATGTATCTCCACCATAATACTGGTTTCCCCCATGACACCCCAAGACTTGGCTTTGCAGAGCATGTGCTCCCCCAGGTCTGTGTGCTCTGAGTTCAGATCCTACAAGTGTCCAAAGAGCTGTGCTCACTCAGCTTCCGGCCAGCCCAGCCCAGGGAGCTTAGAAAAGGCTTTCCCTTCCTTTGTCCTCAAAGGAGAGCCCCGGGAGTGGCTGGCTCCAGCCCCGCTTGCAGGCTGATTTCAGTGGTGGACCCACAGGCACGGCTGGGCCTCGACTGAGAAAGGGCACCAGGTAGACCCCATGCTTCATGGTGGCTCCTAGGGGTGGGCTACTGGCACCCAGCCCAACATAGGGCCCGAGCCCCTGTCCTGCCTCCATCCTCCTTGCCAGACACAGCTCTCTTGGCTCGAAGTGCGGCTTTCTTTCTGCCTGTGTGTGGTTAGGTTGTGACGGTGACTAAACCTCCAGTGACCTGGCCTCAGCATCTGGCACGGATGGTGGTTACAACCCCTGTGGCTGGAGCAGGCCCCTGAAGTATGTGAAGGTTGCCCTCCTCTGGCAAGGGTAAGGCTGGGCACAAACCAGTCCTGGGCTGGGAGACATCCCTGGATCCCCAGCAGGCCCATACTAGACATAAAGTACTCTATATGGACTGGATGAATGTTGCCTTGCTCTCCTGCCTCATCCCATTCATGTGGCTAACTCTTACCCTGGCTTTCTGGAAACAGCATTATCCCTGGATCCCTACCCACTCTCCTTCGACAGAACCCCTGGATATTGCTCAGAGGCATCGGGGAGACTGGTGGGCCATGGTAGCGGCATCTCCCCACTCCTGGGGGGGCAGCTTGACCAGGGTGTCAGCTGACGAGGCCATACCCCTCCTGTGGTCTCACCTATCTCCCTGTGTGCTTCCCACCTGCAGCTCCCTGGAGCCGAGATGCTTCTCCCTATTCCTCTTCATCTTGGGCCCCTGAGGGACTTCCTCCAGGAAGTCCTCTCTGGTTGCCCTTTCCTGGCCTACCAGAGCCAATCCATGACAGCCCAGCAGAGTGGCATAGGGTGGGGTTCTAGCCTGGCTCGGTGCCTGGCACTTGCTAAGTGTGAGGAGTAAGCAAAGTGCTAGCCTTCCCTATGGCTCTGCAGCAGCTAGTACTAGAAATCCAGAGTCCTGGATTCATGCGTGACCTGCACCCCACTCTGAATTCAGAGCCCAGGATGGGAAGAGTATCCTAGAGCTTCGCACCTACTTAAGGAGCTCCGAGAGGTGCCAGTTCCCTTGCCCAGGCTCCAGGATGGGTTTCTGCTGGCCCCTGCTCCACCTGGCCTCCCTTGCTAGCACTCCAGTGGGCCTGGAGCCTGCTGCTGCGGGAGCCAGGGAGGCCTCTTAGAGCTTCAGCAGCATCCATCACAGCCCCAGGCTTCCTGCCCAGACTGTGACAGCCCTGGGGGGCTCCCCAGCCAAGCCAGGAAGGCAGCAGATCCCCCTTACCTACCCCCAGGGTACTTGGTCAGACAAAGAGCTCACTTCATATGTGGACAATGGCCCTCACGGGATGGTTGATGTGGGAGCCAGGCCTGTGGGGTGTGGGAGCAAAGGCATAAAGCCCAGGTCTCAGGGCAGGCCCTGGGAGCTGCAGTGAGCTAGCTGCATGGCAGGCCAAGCTGGCATCAGGCCCAGGGCCTCTAGCCCAGCCCACCCTGCAGTATCTACTCAGGACCCTGGGGACTCATTCACCCTTCAGAGGGGCAGGAAGCAGCATGTGTCCAGGCTGCAGGCGCCGTGATGCTGCTGATGAAGCGGAGGCGGAGCCGTCGTGTGCACACTTCCTGAAGCTCTTCCCTCTGCACTCTGGGAGCACCCACGCAAATGCTTGGAGCTAGGCAGAGAGAGCAGGGAGCTTGCCCTCATCCTGCAACCAGTGTGAGTGGTGAACACTGGACCCAAGATAGCCCTCCCAGGTCTGGCTCCTGCAAAGGGCACCACATGAGGTGACATGAGGTCCCTGTACCATTGATGGCACAACCCCCATATTCCTCACCATCTCTAAGGACAAGGGTCAATAGGAATTCTAGCAACTTCATCCTCCCCCGCCTGCCTGCCTGTCAGGGTAGGAGAGAGCCAGGAAAGGTGACCCCGCGCCCCAGGCCAACAGAGGACGGATGAAGTCAGTGTGTGACGCTGACCTGTGTTCCTCCTACTCCACCTGGTCATCACCTATCTTCCTCTCAGGCTCACTCTTCGAACAGGAGTACTGCTGGTCACTGACAGCTAGCCCTGCCTCTGTCCCAACACAACCTGACTCAAACTGCAGGGGCCTGAAGCAGGAGCAGAGCCAGGGGAGGAGCAGGGCTGGCTCTCATAGTTAGGGCCACAGCAGCCTTCATCACCAGCAGCTCTAAGTGTGTGTTGTTGGGGCAGATTGTGGCTGGGCAGGATAAGGAGAAATGGTGGGTCCCGGGAGGTGACTGAACCAATGAGCCCTGGCAGGATTGAAACTTCAAGACCCAGCTGGGTGTGGTGGCACACGCCTTTAATCCCAAAGTGGGCAGTCTGTATAGTGCGGGCATTGGCCCTGAGACACCAAAGCCACTCGGAACTTGGACTCCACCCAGCCAGCACCGGTGGGCAGTGTTCTCTCCCAGGTGCTAGAGCAGCCTGCCCACACTCCTGCATCCTCTCCAGTGACCTCCCTGGCAAAGCTGACCGCCACCCTTGCTCTCTGAGTGACAGAGGCTGCTGCTCCTTTTGGCCCGGGACAAGGAGCCAAGGCCTGCATTCTTCAATCCCCTGGGGCTGCAGCTGCTGGTCCATGTGTGTTCTGACCATTCTCGTTCCTGCCTTTCCCCTGGGCGTCGTTGTGTGATTTCCTGCCTGTCTTTATTTATTCTTCCTTGGAAGATCTCAGGAAGCAGCCAGGCAGTCTCAGCAGGGCGTTTGTCTTGGCTCAGAAGCTAAACCCACAAACCAGGGGCAATTCCACTGAGATGGGCAGGGGGCTGGCTCCCACTGCCAGTTCACCACTATGGTGAGGCGATCTGTCCCCATGCTGAGTCCTGAGTGAGCACAGGACTCTGAACCCTGGAGGCCAGCCTACACTGTGTAACCAGACAAGACTCCAGCTCTGCCCTAGTGGACCCTCAGAGTGTCATACTCTATGGAAAACGCCGGGCTGTGTTCCACCCTCCCACAAGGAGTCTTCAAGCCACCAGCATGGACTCACCTAGGCCAGGTCTGTGCCTACAAGAGCCCAGCATTAACAAGAGTGGACTTTAGGGAGGCTCTGCCCCATGTAGTCTGCAGGGGTGGACTCAGAGGAGCTGGGTCTGGATGCTCCAGCCTAGTGGTTGCCCCAAGTAGTCCACATAGCCAGGGAAGGTAACCAGGTGGGTGTGGCCATCCAGCCAAAGGCCTCCCTGAGTACAAAGCGGGGTGCAGCTTTGTAAGCCTAGCCATTTTCTGGACAAATAGAGTGGGCTGAGGGGGGCTACTGTGTTGGCCAAACTGCTAACTGTGGTGGTGATGTCCAGTGCCAACAAGCTTTGCAGTGGCCAAGACTCAGGTAGCATGGAAGAAGGGAAGCCTGGCACTCCCAGGTGAGCAGATGGAGACACCGCCGTGCTGACAGGCAGGATGCCCTCTCCAATTTGCTCTCCTCGCATCCACTCCTCTCTGAGGCCTAGCCCCTCCTCCAGCCTCCACTGGGGCACGTGGCAGACAATCCCAGGCCCTTCTTCCTTGTGCGGAGGTGGGGGTCGACAGGGCTCACTCCACACTCCCATGATGCCTGCTGCTTTATCATGACACATGAGGGTGGCCGGGCTGAGGCTGGCCTTGGAGCTCTGCTTTGGCCAGTGGGGACAGCCTTTTCTGGCCCAGCACCTGCATTCCACTGCCGCCTGGAGAGGTTTGAGACACTACCCAACGTGATAGGGCCACCGCCAGCTCAACCCACAGAAAGACACAGCTGTCTGCAGAGAATGGCCTGAGGTCATCATCTCAGATGCTGGATGGCAGAGACCTCAGCTTATCACAGGGACTGTGACCAATGGAGGGTCCTCAGGGGAAGGTGGCCCAGTTTCCTGGTGGAGTGGCAGTAGTACACATCATGGGAGACAACACTAGACCCCACCTTCTCAGCCAAAACTGTACACTTCGAAATACTGATCATTTAAACGTCACAATGTTCAAAAGGAGCAAAAATGCTTGCCTGTGGTGTAAAGAGAGGACACTGTGGCCCTTAGGTGGCCGCTCCACTGACTTCAGTTTTAAAAGGGGCACAGCAAACATACTCTCCAGCTCCAGCTCCCTCCAGTGGCTCAACCACAGATATTGAGAGCCCAGGTCTTACTGTGTCCTCTGACTCAAAGGGACTGGAGGGCCACACTGCCCCGTGCGGGTCTGACTTCCCCGTGCCTGGCACCGCCTTGTCTAGTGCTCAGACGTACTGTTGTTTTTAGGCTGCTTGCTGTGCCCTGCGCAGCCCAGTGAGCCAGTCGGTACTGCTGCCCATAGGGAGGCTTTCCTTTCCGATTTCCCGGGTCTTCCTCGTGGGCACACCGACTTCCTGTCCAGCTCTGGTCCTGCATGCTGAGTGGGGGTACGGAGCTGTAGGGCTGGGTTCTAGTGTCCTACTGCAGCCCCCACCCCTGCAGCCCCTGGCCTCTGGTGGGAGCTCCTAGGGCTAGACTGGGAGCCTCTTCTGAAAATGACTGATGTTGAGGTCCCTCCACTGCTGAACAGGGCCCTGAGATCACAATGTAAATCATTCCAACAACGGGCCACGGGGCCACAGGGCCACAGGGGACTATTTACTCAAATGCTGAAACAGCCAGTTCTGGGGCCGCAGCGTGCCACATCCTGGGGCTTTTACAGTTCTGGACACCAAGATCATCTTTTTCCTTTCTTTTTTTCTTTTCTTTCTTTCTTTCTTTCCTTTTTTTTAAATCAAGGAACCATGGAGATGTGCAAATCTGGCCACTAGAGTCCTTAGAAATACTTCAAAAATGCAGTTGTCAGGCCTCCCATGACCCACCACAGCCCCCAAAACTTACTCACCACTTCCAGGTCATAGAAGAGTTGGGTGGCTGCTGCTAATCCCCTGCCCTTAACAAGAGTGTGGATGCCAGAGCTGTCTGAGTCTGCCCTCGAGTGGACTCTGGTAGCACGGGGAGCCACCCCGGACGGTTAGAGTGCATGCAAACTGCTGGGTCGGGCCCAGACTTGCATTCTGGATGCCTTGGACCTCCACTGTGTTCTTGCTCTCTGCACAGTGGCTCCCATGTGGTGTAGGGAGATGCCTGGGTTCCAGGAAAGGTCTGGGCTGCCATAGGGCCAGCTGCTTTGGGATGAGGGAGGTAGGGGGGGGGGCAGAGAAGCAGGGTTTGGGATAGGACAACACTCTGAGCTAGCATCACAAGTTCTGACTTCAGCCCTCATGGGCTGGAGTCTGCACAGCCAGGGCAGGCCATTCTACCTCTCTGAGCCTGTGACCACCCAATGACCTAACAGAGTCCTCTCACCAGCAGGGTTAGGCCATCTGTACTGGGATGGTGTGGGTGGATCACCAGGTGGCAGACAGGTAGCCATGTGTCACAGAGGGCCTGGTGTGTGTGTGTGTGTGTGTGTGTGTGTGTGTGTGTGTGTGTGTGTGTGTGTGTGGTTGGCACCTGAAAGCTGTGTTCAGGATATAAAGAACCCAAAGCCCACAGGGTGGGCTCAAGGTGAGAATTCAGCAGAGCCACACATTCCCCCCCATGCTCCCCTTCCGGCAGAGGTGCTTGTACAAGGCAGGGCTCCCTGATGCTGCGAGGGGAGGAGGCTCTTATGCTGCAGGCAGACAGCTAATGGCAGGGCTGTGGCTCAGTGCCGTGGATGGGGAGACTCATCGGGTTGCATGGTCAGCGGGGAACTAGTAACAGGAGGACCTGCAGGTCCCAGAAGAAGGCTGTAAAGCTGGTCTCACTGTCTCCCCTATAGAGACTGTCATGCAGTGGGAAGCCACGGGGCAGTTTCTGGGCAGTTTCCTAGGTTGTATGGAGGTGTGTGTGAGATACCCAGGTGGTGGCCAACAGTGAAGGGGGAGGCAGATGGCTGCATGGAGGGGACACCAGGCCCAGTTCCACCACTGCAGCAGGACAGTGACCACAACAGATGACTAAGTCATGCTTGGCAGTCTCCGGGGCTTTCTGTCATTCAGCTTAGCTCCTACAGGGTGCAGCCTCCCCACGCACAGACAAACAAAGAAACAAACAAAGAAACAAACAAAAAACCACCAATCCCGAGGGGGTCTTCATGACTCAAGGTCGCGGCCTCTGAGAGAGGTTAGAGCTTGCTCTGGTGTTCCACCAGGTGCCAGTATGCAAAGTTGGCCTGGACCTTCCTCAAGTGGATTCTGTTCTGGTCAGGACAGGAGACGTGTTCATGTCCCAGTGACCAGTGTGGGTGGAGGGATGTGTAGGGAGATGGGACTGGATGAGACATGGGGTCACAAGGGGCTGGACTTCCAGATCCGGCTCTGTCCCTGACTGGTGGTCAGCCCTGTGTCCTTAGGGTGCTCTGGGGGCCTCACACCACCTGGAATCTAACTGGCCAAGCATGTGGAGTGAATGGAGACAGACTGCGGGGTCTGTCACTCGGTACTCCCCCCCCCACCAGGCAGGTCCTTGGCAGCCCGCTCTTTGTCCCTCACCTGGCTTCATGGAGCTCATGACAGCTGTGCGGCTCTTCAGTACCGCCTCGTAGATGGCCTTCTGGTCCTCCGTGAACTTGCCATTGGCAGGGAAGGAGCAGGTGATGTCAGAAGCAAAGCAGTAGTACTCTCCGCCCATGTCGAACAGGCTGTGGGGACAGGGTGTTGTGAGGCAGCAGGTGGGCAGATGTCCACACCCTTCTCTCTCTCTGTTGGGGCCGGGCTGCGGCAGGAGGTGTGGCTGGTGTAGCAGGTTCCCTTCCAAAAGAAGGGAGCGTTGCAGGGACCTAGGCCCGGTGGTGCAGGCCTGTCACCTCAGGGACTTGGGAGGTGGAGGCAGGAGGATAGAAACTTGAAGCCCGAGCTGGGTGGTGGAGGAGCACACCTTTAACCTCAGCACCCAGGAGGCAGAGCAGGCGGATCTCAAAGCGAGTTCCAGGAAAACAGTTTTTAAGATCTGCCTGGGCTACAGAGTAAGTTCAAAGCCAGCCTGGAAACTGTGAGACCATCCCAGAAAAGAGTAGAAAGAGCACTGGAGACGTCACTTAGTAGATCACACGGGCCTGCACACATGAGATCCTAGCCTCAATCTCCAGAATCAGAGAAAATGGTAAGGAAAAATGGGAGGAAGAGATGGACCGGAAGAGGGAGAGAAGGACAGTGGGAGGAGGGGGCTGGCTCAGCCCATCCAGGGAAGGCTAAGAAGACTGGTCCTAGCGGCCTTAGCTGTGGGGACCCATTCAGAGCAGTGGGAGGGACCCATGGAAGGATGAGGGCTAGGTCTCCAGACACCCACACGCCAACCGCCTTCCATACGAGCATGTCAAGAGACTCCCTACGCCTGCCTTGCTTGCACCTAGGCCACATCTGCCCATGGACTGAGCTGCACCAGGTCTTTCTAACAGGCCCACAGTGCTTGGGAGGAACCAGCAAGTGGCTGGTGCCTCAGACGCTGCTCTGTTGTCTGGTATCATCTGCTCAGGTAGGGCAGACATGTCTCACCAGCATCTGAGAAGGGGAACATCAGAGTGTGTGTGGCCCATTTAACAGTGCTTTCCTGGGGACGGATAGAGGTGCTGCCATGTGGTCCCCAGGTGGGTGGCTGTGCAGGCTGAGATGGTGCAGAGGACTCGGGCAGCCTTGAGCCAGTGGAGGCTGGACAATGGTGGAAAACAGCCGGGCCTGCCGAGTCAGGACCGTGGAGCTAGCCCTCTGGAGACCGTGTCATGGCCTGGGAGAGCAGAGCCACATAGTGGGCTATGGTGCCCAACAATGGGGATGGTAAGAATTCTGCCCTGTGCACCGTCTGGGATGGAGCAAGAAGAAGGCTTGTGGGCCTGGCCTGGCTTTTGGGACATGGATCAGTCTCCCATGGTGTGGTATGGGGTCACCTCAGAATGCCAGAGTGTGACTAAGGCTAGGGGTGTACATACAGGCCACCCCTTCCCAACCTGCCCCATTTTAGCACCCCAGGAAGTCTTGCAACAGACATAAAGCAAGGGCCTGTTCCTGGGGCCAAGATATTAATCCCAACCAAACTTGCTGATGGACCAAGGGCCAGTCTTCCTGTACCAACGGAGGCCAGCTCTGCTTCGTGTGGTGGGGGATGGCCATGTCCATCTGCTGCCAGACACATGCTGGCCGGTCTGAGCCCAGGGCATATCTGTGGCTTCCTTTATGAGGGCCTCTCACCCAAATCCTACTCTGACAGCAACCACAAACATTCCAGAAGTTGCCTGTGCACTAGTGCTGAGAGACAGAGCAAGGGGGCAGGGTGGGCCCAGGCCTGCCTGCAGAGCACGGATTCTGGCCACATGGCTTGCTAGACAGTACCGGCTACTGCACCGCATCTGATTTCAAAGGAAAAACTCCAGTGCTCAGGAGGCCTGGACACCATGCTGGAATCCAAAGTCCTCGACGAGGCACCTTTTAATCTCCTGACTCTTCTGGTTGCAAAACATCATAAACGGGGTCAACAGTACGAAAGTCGAAGCACAGATAACATCTCAGGTGATTCCTGGGGGTGGGCAGAGGCACCCCGCCCCCAGCGTGACAGGGAACTTCGGCTTGGGTCAAAGTCTCTGGGGGACCCTGTGTGGAGCAGACTCAAGGGACCTGGGCCTCACTTCAGGAGGACCCACCCAGCTCAGTTACAAGAGGGCCATGAAACACGAGAGGCCGGAGACACACCTAGGCATCTGCTCCCCAGGGCACTGAGGCCCTTGGGGCCAGAAACTGCCTGCAGGTTTACTCCTGTGTAGGGCGTGCTCAGACCCAGCCTAGAGGGTAAGCACACTGAAGCCGGAGATGGCAGGGAGACTGAGGCTGTGCACACAGGCCCAGCAAAAGCCCTCAACTGAGGGAGGTAAACATTTCAGTCCCCTTGCTCGGCCTCTGCCACTCAGCCTTCGGGACTCATTTTCCCACAGGTTAATGGGACGGTGACCCTGGTGAGCTGAAGGTGTGTAAGGGTCTAGGGGCCAGTGCGGGCAGCAGTGGAAACAGAGCCGCAGGGTCCCAGCCTCGGGTGGCTGGGCTTCCTGGACTCAGTCAGGGAGACAATGCTCGGTGGTTTGGTGGACTGCCGCATCTGAGAACAAATGGCCTGGGTAGGCAGGACGGGTGAGGCGTGTGCAGACACTCATTCCTGGAGGTGCCACATAAAGGGTGACCTGATGTCGCCCCGGGGAGAAGATTCTACTGGTGCTAGTCTACAGGAAAAACAGAAACGAACTATTTTTAAAAACCAGGAAGCTCACAAGATGACACAAAATGCTAGAATCATCTAGAACGGGACAAAACAAGATTCTTTGAGGGCACACCAGACTGAACCAAGTTCTCCAAACTTTCCCCCAAACAGAGCTGGCATGATGGGCGCTCTCCTCCAGCTTCTAAAGACTTCAACTCTACTTTTTGTTAAAATCAGCCGCTTTCTGGAGAAGGAAGTTATACAGCCCTCCAGGCAGCCCCATCCTGCCCGGCGACGCTTGGGCACGGGCTTGAGTCTATTTTTGTGTTCTCAGTTCCCCATATTTTCTGCCCTTTGCTGTTGTTGTTTATTGTTTTTAAATCCTCCCTCTGCTTTTCCATGCTTAAGTGACTCCGATCCAAGCCGTCTGGAATCCAGGGATGAAAGCTATCACTTTTGTAAATCGCCCTCCAGTTTTCTGTCTGCCGCGCCTGGCCTTCCCATGCAGAACCACGATGGAGCATTCGGTCATTCTTGGCTCCATCGAGAATGCAAGATCTCCCCTTCCTGGCTGTGTAGGGACATCCAGCAGGGACACCTCCATCACTGGCCGAGTGGGTCTATGTGATAATCTGAGACATCTGGGAGATGACATGTCTCCAAGCAATGTGCTGGCGTCTCCTCTCCACATGTGTTCCTGTGCCTGTGGTGCTGGCTGGGATGAACGTTCTGTCTTCCTCCGGCTCTTCATGGGGCAGCTCCAGGCCTGGGCTACCTGCCACCACTGGCCCACCCAGACCCTCTCCAGGTCCTGCTCAACTCCCTTAGGCCCTGTGCAGGGACAAGCCAGCCCACAGGCAGAGGGCCTCCAAGGGAATGCTGCAATGTTTATACAAGGGCCACTTTGTACTCAGCTTGTAGCTTCATTTTAATCTGAGTATGCAACACACACTCGGCCGCTTCTCACCCAAGACTGACATCTTCCATGCACGTGTGCTAAGCATGCCTGCTCTGTACAGACTCCACAGCATGCCAGGCTGGAGGGGGAGAGATGGGAGTTCTGAACAGCTGAAAACGCTCGTCTACCCCAGACTCTGCTGGGTTACAATAGGAAGGTGGCTGGTCATGTTGTCTCCGTCAGCGCATGCCTCCAGGTTGGCCACAGTGGGCATCTGCCTCTCCAGTTCACGGGTCAGCTGCTGACTCCCAGCCCCCCACCAGGATCTGTGCATGCCAGTCCTCAGGGATGGCCAGAGCAGCAGAACCATCCTCAGGGACTCCTCAGGGTCTAAGGTGGCCGGGACAGTCCCCCATGCCAGCAGCGGGTCCCTGCCCCCAAGGCCCAAAGCTACAAATCTCCAATGCACACTCTAATGAGAATAGTTCCATGCTGGGGTCCTATGTCTGCACAGAACTGGCACTGCCTCTACGAGATGTCACAGAACACTCATGCCAGGCCAAGCCCCAAGGACAGCACCACACTGTGGCCTGGATCAGAGGCAGGCACTCAGTTGCTGCCTGCCTCAGCCTTGTGGGCTCAGGGTTGGGCACCAGGGCAGTGGCTGCTGTGGGTGGGGGGAGGCCAGCAGTCATCGTCACGCAGACAGCACATGCTTCATTTCACTTTTTTGGTGACTGGTGTCTTGTGATGTCTGTGAGCACCCAGGCTGTCTAGACTAGCGCTTTTTAAACCATGGGTTGTGACGTCAATGGGGTGGGTGCGGCCACAAAGCAGTGACAAGCTAAACAGAAGGGACAGAAGCACGTGGGGAAGGCAGCTGCTTATGGCCGGAGGCCTGTCTGCAAATGTGAGCCCTGGTTAGGAGGCTAACGGTCTTCTGCAAGGGGCTATTGAAGTCCTCGGCCGGCTCAGCTGGCCAGATAGCTGGCCAGGGCCTGTGTTTGTAGGAGCGCTTTCTGGCCCCAAAGGCTGGCATCTCTTCCACTGTAAAATGCTCTGGGTGGGGCCCCCTAGTGGCTACCAAGCGTCCTTTAGCACTAGCAGGGCTGGGGAAGGGATATGAGTTGAGCCTAGCAGCAGGGAGCTACCTGTGGATGACATCCTCCAAAGCCTACTGGAACACTAAGCACAGATAACAAGGCGCGTGGAGCCACAGGCACACAGCCTTCCTCCAGGCCTTCTGCAGCAAGGAAGAGCCTCAGGCCCCGACTCACCCTGCCTGGGGCCACAGCTGGCAGCCAGACACACAACCAGAACAGGCGCAATCATCTTCTCCCAGTGCAGGGCTAAAGCGATGCAGGGGCTGCTAAAGCCCTTGGTATCTGCAGCCCGGGGTGAGGCTGGCATGCCTGTGATGGCAACAGCTATGTTAGACATCCTGGAGGCCACCCAGGCTCCAGCTGTGACCCAGAGGGACAGCAGCACAGTTCTGGGTCCCTTTAAGTACTAACTGTTCTGGGATGAAACCACCCTCATTTCTCTGGGTTTTGGTGACCTCCTTACATGGCCATTATCAGAGCAGAGAGACGGATGAGGCCGGAGGCCACAGCAGGGATGGAGAGGGAGGGGGCACTCGCAAATTGCTGAGTGCAAGGTTAGGACAGGCCTGTCCCTAGCTGGGCTGCAGGCCCACCTCCCACACCCCAGGACAGCACAGCAAACCACAACCCAGAGAGAGGCCTGGCCGAGTCCTGAGGCTACACTGCCCTCTTCTGGCCAGTGCTGGAAAGCCGTGCACACCATCTCTCAGCCACCACTTGGGGAGTCCCAGACCTGGGGCACACACGCACCTGTGTTTGGATAGAAGCCATGACACCTGGCTTCTCTTCTTGTTCTTAGAGGGTGGGAGGCAGCTGAGGAGGAGTGTCCCAGCTGCTTCTCAAATCAGAACCCCACTGAGGACATATGCTCTGCTGTGTGGGGAGAGCTCGCATAGGAGTCGGGAGAAGCAGAGAACTTGACGCTTGGGTGGAGAGTCTTCCACCAGTGACTCAACCTGGGATGTGTTGGTCCAGGTGCAGCCTGTCTGTCTGTGGGCTTCGATGGCTCAGAGGGGCGTCTGAGGACCACTCCCCACCCAGAGCCGGTGGGGCCTGGCTCCTTCCCTGTTTCTCTAGATGTGTTCACAGCCACCTGCTTGGAGCTAGATGCAGTGGAGAGCATCTTCTGTGGCCTCCCACTCAGGAAGGCCTCCAGTGACCTTGTTCAACACCACCCTTCATGCGAACACGCTGGAAGCATCAACTAACAAGACCACCACACTTGGCAAGCCCTGTCATCCAAGCCCTGCCTGCTTGCCTTGAAGAAGAGAACAAAATGCAGCTGATGTTTCCTGCAGGACAGTGACCCGACCAACGGGTTCAGGGGCACTCCAGGGACACAGCCAGAAGATGCTCTGGGAGCCAACAGGAAAACTCCAAGAGGCTCAGCAGCCGCAGGCCCTGAACAGGCCTCATGGCTCTGAACTGAGAGAGGCCAAGACATCTGAAGCCACACATGTCACCATCCTTCCCTGGGATCCACACAGAGCAGCTGGGCGTGGGATCTGGCCCAGAGGAACAGGAAGGGACCTGGGAACCGCTGGCTAGGATGTGGGATGGCCTGCAGTACTTGGCTGACAAACCTGATGTGTAGCACAGAGCAGCCTGCGCAGCATCGAGACCTCATGGGTGAGGACTGTGGCCCACAGCGGCTGGAAGCGGCCTTCGCTGACTTCCAGCCCCACCTGAGGTTCCCATGAGCCCGCAACAGTGGTTCATGTCTGCAATCTGAGCGCCTGGGAACCCAAGGGCACTGCTATACATCCAGGCCAGCCTGGCTACAGTGTGAGACCCTAGTTCACTGTTTAAAAAAAGCTGTCTGACTAAAGTGGGCCTGACTGCTGCTCTGCCTTGGCCCAGGGCTGGAAAATGTGCTTCAGAGACACAGAAAGCAGCAGGGCAGTCCAGCCTTTCTGGTTTGGCAGCTCCACTCCACACTGAGGTGGTGGTGGTGGTGGGGGAGGGCGGGGGGCTCTGTGCCCAGGTTCATACGACGCGGCTCCTGGTGCACTTGTGTGGGTATATGCTGAGAATGTGGGTCTACTCACTCCTGAAGGGACCGTCACTCAGCACCTCCTCACTGCTCTGAATGAGCTCTGACTCCCCAGATGACTGTTAAAATATCTTTCATGTCAAATGGCAGGTGGGCCCAGAGCCCACCCCTGTGCTCGCCTGGGACGCACATCCTGTCCCAGGAGGCATTCAGCTTCGGGACAGACTCCACTCTGTACACATATTCTGGTCCCCTACCTTATGATGAAGGACTGTGGCTTTATGTTGGGATAACAGTGTGATTTATTATTTACCGAACGCACTAGGTGCTTGGCAGATCAATTTCAATAAAACAATGGATTATAAATGCCGCCAGCAATCTGGCAGTAGCAGTAATCAACAAAACATGTTCTAAATGCTGCATAATAAATTGACTATAATAAACTCATAATGATTCTACTGGCTACATTTCAAAGTTAGCACTAGAAAAACAAAATCACCAATTTGAGTTTGGCATAAACATCCATGGAGTTCCTCAGCTCACTCCTGTTCACAGCTGTATCCAAAGGCACAGGTGCCACATGCTGCCTGAGGCCTGAGGTCACAGCAGGTGGGCCATAGAGAGGCCTAAGGTACACAAGTATCCTGGCTGGCCCCTAACCATCTCTGGGATCCCCAGGACTGCAGGTAAGGCTGACCTTCTCACAGGGAAAGAACTCCCTTTTGGACAGCTAAAGTAGACAGTGAAAAAGCAGCTGCTTCCTCTGGGGTGTGCTAAACTCAAGAGGAGTGGAGCTCATGGCTTAGGGGGCTCCAGCCAGCCAGAGCTCCCCCAGGATGGCAGGGACCTGCTGATGTGGCTGGCCTCAGCCTTGGCCCGGGGAGTAGATTCCTGTCCTGCCCTCCAGTCCTAACCAGCATAGGCCAGAGCCAAAGATCATCCGGAAAGCTCTTGGGCAGTGGGACCTTTTGGTACAGGCCAAAGTGTTCCTTGGAGGCTGAGGCAGGAGGATTGAAACTTCAAGTCCTGCCTGGAAAACTTAGTAAGACCCTGTCTCAAAACAACAAGTGGAAACAGGGTCAGTGCAGAGTGTTTGTCCAACACGCTGAAGGCCCTAGGTACGAGCAAGTGCCAGGAGCTGTGGGTGAGGGGCAGGGGACGTCAGGGAGGGGCAAGCTTGGGGACATCATAGTGCCTGAAGAGACCAGCTGCCTCTCCTGCTGCCACTGGCTCCACCGTGACCTAGAGGGGAGGGAGGGCTGTTCTTCTCCTTGCCTCCAGCTGAGCCAGCTCTGAGGCAGCCGCCCCCTCCCCAGTCCCTGTGACACCTACTTGTGAGCCCAGCACCCGCTGAATCTCAGCCACTCTAGCCTGTGCTCCTGTTGTGGACTGAGTGGCAATGGCTTCTGCCTCATCTCTTGCTGGCTCCCACCTGGTTTATCAGCTTGGCCCCGGAAGAGGCCATTTTCAGCCCCTGCGTTCCCTATATGCCCTTTCTGCCATTATTGTGGGGAGTCCGGAGGTGGGTCAGTTATCTCCACTCACAGATGGGTAAACAGAGGCATAGACAGAAGAAGCTCTCCTTACCGAAAGCTGAGCGGCTTGAGCCAGAAGGTCTTACCTAATGGCTGACCCCGGTGAGTGGACTGGCCACTCCTGGGATTGAGTGGTTGTCTCTTATTTGGAGTGACTACTCAAAGGACTTTCTCAGCAGCTGGTTATCTGTCTGTCCATGCATGTGTGCTCCCCCTCAGTGGACATGGGCTGGGAACTCTTGGGAGTAGGCTCCCCTGGGGCAGGGCCAAAGCCACCCCGTGAGCAGCCATCACAAGAACCCAAGGCTGGGGAATGAGTGCCACAGGGGTCGAGATGGCAGTTGATGGCCCAGCCATGCTCCACTGTGGCACTGCCTAGGGGCCCAGCTTTGAACAATGGACCGAACAGCAGCTAAGAACCAGTCAGACATGGCGGTTTATGCCTGTAATCCCAGTACCTGGGAGGCAGAGGCAGGAGGACTGTTGTAAGTTCTTGGCCAGCTCTAGCTAGACCCTCACACAAAACAGACATCTAAAACGCAGGCAGGGCAGGGACCCTTTGGTCAACTGATGATCCCAGCACATCTGAAGGCCAAGGCAGGGTGGCTCTGTGTGGCTTGAACCTGCCCTGGCCAATGTCTGGTGGGGACCATGGAGTGACTGAGGAAGAACTGGATCAGTGACTGCGGACCCCTCCAAGCCCCAAGGTGGCAGCCCAGCACGCTCTGCCTGCACTTGCCTCACCACGGCCTTGTGTGGAACGGAGGGTCTGGCAGAGCTGGAGCAATGGCTGCTTGGTGGCCAAGGATAACAGTTTTCAGAGTGGGGGGCTCCAAACACAGGGAGCCCAATGGTTGGACAGGACAGGATGGGAGAGGCTGCGGAGAGTCAGAAAGCAACCTCCCAAGCCAAGCCCCTTCCCAGCTCCACAGGAAACCACAGGGAATCTTGTTGGGCGATGTCCTTAGGCCTGGAGAAGGTAGCATGCAGGCTAACAGCAACAGCAGAGAAGTCTGGGCTGAAAGCAGCCCAGGGCTTTGTTTAGCCAGCCCTCTCTGGACAGGGACCCAGAAGCCTTTTGGCTGACCCAGAAGTGGGGTGTCTGCTTTTGTCCCCGCTGTTCACGTGCACGGTGGGGTGACGGCACTCGGCCTCACTTACCACATATCTCCATCCTTGATCGTCCGGTCATTGGGGGCCCCGGCATGGCCGTAGTGCAGCACAGCCGCGTTCTCGCCGCTGTGAAGAGCCACAGAGGGTAGTTAAGAGCCTCCTGTCATCCAGCAGGACCTGGAGGCTGGACCGGGCCCACAGCTGGGAGCAGAGGAACATGGCGTCCCCGCCTGCCCCAGAGCCAGGAGCAGCTCCTTGGGTCTGACAGCTAGCTGCCTTCTGGGCGGGGGATGGCTCTGACAGCTAGCTGCCTTCTGGGCTGGGGATGGGTCTGACTGACAGCTAGCTGCCTTCTGGGCTGGGGATGGAGGCAGCATATTCCAAGAGCAGAGGCTCATGGGCCTGGAGAAGGGCTAAAGGAAGGGAGGTTTCATGGAAGGTCCTACAGTCTCAAGAGCCTCTTAGGAGTCTATCCAGTACTAGGGCGACGAGAAGCTCGTGGCTCCTTGTTCCCTGTTCCATGGAGCCACCCTAACGAGCAACACCGTTAGGAAGAACTTACAAGTCTGTCCAAAGGGGAAAACCCCACCTGGTGTAATATTTATGGCCTCATTCGGGAGTCTCAGGAATCATAAAAGTAGAAATAATGATTTTTCTCTCTATCCACCAGAGAAGAACATTTCCAAGGACAGAGGTGTTTGGATGTATTATTCATGTGTGAGGACGCTCACTCACATCAGTGAGAGCTGCCCACCTCCGTCCAGGCTGAGCAGGGACTAGGCTGGAGGGATGGAGCTAGGGAGGCTAGCTTGGGTCAGGCCCAGACACAAGAGACCACCCGCAGCTATGATGTGCTCATACAGCCACACTCAGAATGACACCTGCAGCCAGCCACTCACACAGCTGTGCACAGCCCTGGAGACCAATGGCCAATGGCAGTCAGAGCCAATGGCCACCACTATGGCCATGGTTAGTTCTACCATGTGTGTATGCAGGAGAATACCCGGGCATGTGCAGATGACACAGCCTCAGTGTGCCACACAGACACCCACACAGGGCCCAACGTCTGCCCCAAGCAGGCACATACTCTCATAAAAGGACTCGATCCCGGTGCCGACAGCTCCATCCATGTTTTACCCCCACTGCTCACAGCAAGTGACCTATTTGCTACCTATAGGCTAGCCGGTTTGTCTTAAGCTACCCATGCACATATGTGACCAAGCATGGGTGCCAGCAGTAGAGGGCAAGGTGACTTCCAGGCACTGGTGTGGGCACAGGAGTGAGCAAGTGCCCCTGAGCTAGGGGTTGGGAGGATGGAGTGCTCCCTGTTGCCTGTCCTCCCACGAGGCCCAAGACTTACCTGCAGCAGATACAGGTGTAAGAGGTATGGCGCATGCCTCCGCGAGAGTAACAGTAGTGCTGGAACAGGCTGCGGAGAGAGACACATGGTAGGGTGCTACTGAAGTCCTCCATGCAGACCTGCTTCTGCCACAGCCCTGAGCAGGCTGGACTTCCCCAGTGAGCGTGAGCACGGGGCCAGCCCCGGGCCACAGAACTGGGGAGGGCAGAGGGTGGCCCAAAGGGAAGGTGGGCACAGCAGGAGGCAGGAAGAGCACTGGGGCCTGACCCCTGGGAGACATGAGGGACACAGTTCTACAGGGCTGAGGGTCTCCCTGTGAATCTGTGACTGGTGCGTTACCCTGGGCTGCCAAGAGAGGGCTAGGCAGACGGGGTGGCAAGGAGACAGGTCTTGGGGGCAGGCTCCAGGTCTCCCTGCTTGAGAAAGCATAAGCCAGCTGGGCGCAGGGACAGGCTCACCCCTTAAGCAGGGAGGCACATCAGCAAGGGCTGAAGGGACAGATGGGCCCTGACCCCAGTGCCAAGGGATGTCTTTGGGAGAGTGGGCTATCATACAGTATTGCACAATCCGAGAGAGTGAGAAGGGGCGGGTAGCCCAGCCTTCTAGAAGGCTCAGCACTGAGAATACGCGTGTGGGGGAGGGGCAGCGAGCTATCCCCTCACACTGGGCCCCCTACGCTGCTTAGAGGAAGCTCTTCAGAACAGAGAGGTGATATCAGAAGGCACACACCGTTATGCCAGCCCTTGGGACACTGAGGCAGGAAGACTGCTATGAGTTCAGGACAAGCTTGGGATACATGTCAAAATTCTGTCTTTAAAAATCCAAAACTAAAGAAGCAACCAAACAAAAGAAAGCCAGGGCTGGGGACACTCAGCATTTAAGAGAAATCGCTGCCGTTCTGCAGTTTGTTCTCAGCATCCACATCAGAAGGCTCCAGCTGCCTGCGACTTCAGCTTCAGGAGACCTGACACCTTCCGACTTCGGTGGGCACCAGGCATGCATGTGGCGCACATACATACATGCAGGCAGGGCAAACACTCACATGCATAGAATAAAAATAAACAGATCTTTAAAAAAATCACACACACCCCTTTTGATAACACCCCACTATGAAGCTCCTCTGGCTGTTCTGGAACTCTAGACTAGGCTGGCCTTGAATTGAATTCACAGAGATCTATCTACTGCCTACCGCCTGAGTGTTGGGATTAAAGGCATGAGCCACCAGGTCTGATAAAAATAAATCTTAAAGAAAGAAAGCTGAGCCTCAGGGAGGCTGCACTGGCCACACTTTAGAATGCCTCAGGCCCCCCCCTCCTGTATGCCTTGGACCTCAGCACTGGGACACAACATGCCCAGGCTCTGCAGAATGTAGCTGGTAAGGGGGTGGCGGTGGGAACCCTCTTCACTCCATCCCAGAGGCTCCAGCATACTTTCCCTCCTGGGCCCTGGCTCAACCCCGCTCTGAGAAGCAGGCCTAGGTGGTCATATCCGCCTACTGCTATCTGCAGAGTACCAAAGGCAGCCCACAGGCCCGCTGAGTGGCAGCCCTGCCTGCCCTGCACGTTCTAGGCCTGTTTTGGAAAGTGTCTGCGCGGAGGAGTTTAATCTTCTAGGCACTGTAAACACAAATTATGTATAATTGTTATGATTGGGTATTAAGTAGTTGTTATGCAGAAACGGTTCCACTGGATTCGATCGGCTTTCAGACTTGCCTGCAAACCTTCCAGGATAACTGGATATCTTACAAGTGAAATGTTTCCTCAAAGCTGTGTGGGTGAGGGGTTGGGGGAGGGACAGGACGCCCACTCCTTCCTCAGCTGCTCTCGTCACAACGGAGACGTGGGCCAGGAGAGCAGTCAGCCTAAGCCAGAGAGCTGAGCCCGAGTCAGGCACATCCCCTGGGATTCTCCCATCTACCCCGGGCAGGCAGACTCCCAAACAGCTCCCTCTCTATACAGGAAGCCTCCAAGTCACCCCATGGAGCCCCAGTGCTCCCTCAGCTTTGGAGATATACTTCTTTCACAAAGCATCAGGGACCACATGGCCATGTTCACAGCCGTGGAGACAGGTGACCTGGGCATGACCACAGGTGCTAGGAGACTGTCTGGCTTCAGAGAGGACAGGTAGAGGGACAGCCATGCCACCGGCGTATACAGTGGCAAACATTCCAGCAGGATGGATCCTGGGGTGGGTTCGGCGCCTTTGCCTGGGGCCTAATCTCAGCAGAGAAAACCTTCCTTGTATCCTTGGCTTCAGTGGAAGAAAAAGGCAACTTCCCGTACAGGGCTTCTACAGGTTTGTAGAAGGGGCTAACAGGCAAGGGAGAGTCAGTAGTTTCCACCCGTAAGCCTCGGCCTGACATGGGCCATTTCCCAGCTCTATGCATGGTTCCACATCCCCATAAGCAGGAGCTCCGGGGAGGAGAGTCACCCATGCAGGAGATCCATCCCCAGATGAGCCTGCTGCTCTCCACACTGGACATCGGCATGTTCTGCTTCAAATGACTGCCTGACACCTGCTGGCTAGCTGCTGCTGGCATTTTGGGAGGCTATGGGCCCTTTGGAACATGGGGCCTGCTGGTGGACACAGCTACCTGGGAGGGCCCTCAGGGAACCCACCCACTCTGAGTCCACCTGCTGCTCCCCGAGATGAGCGGAGCACACTTGCCTCTCCCTGGGCACAGCCAGAGCCGTTCTTGTAGCCAAGCCTTTCTGCCACACTGGGCTGACAGTGAGCCATGAGCCAAGACAAGGTCTTCCTCCCGTAAGCCACTTCAGTCGGCTGCTCTGTCACAGCCTTAGGAAAAGCAGCCAATCAAGACCCAGCCTCAGACAAGCTAGGCCAGCACTCCACTGCGGAACCACCCTCGGGCCCTTGGCCATTTCGTTTTTCTGCTAGAAGACGGAAGTATCCAAGGACACGTGGATGCTTTAGAGGTAATAAGTAGATTAAGTGGGCCAGCCACGTTTTCTGCAGGCTTCTAGTCTGGGCTGTAGACGTGTAAGGGTCCCCAAGTTCTAAGGAAAGTGAGGTGACACTAGGGGTGTGAAGAGGTTGCCATGTTTCTGATCTTTAAGGGGTAAGGACAAAGGATCAAAGGCTTTGAACTGAGCCAGAGTTGTTACATGAAGGCAATGTGAGGCTCTGTACAGGCTGGTCTGAGCTCAGCAGGCAGAGCTGGGATAAGCAAGCATGGGCCAGGCTAGCCGAGCAACCTGACTCCACATCAGTAGCCAGGATACTTTAAAAAGATCCCTCTAAGGCTTCATGGAAAATAGAGTACGCCAGCAACGGAGAGGCCAACTGCTGAGTGACCCAAGTCCACGGTCACAATTTGCTGCAGGCTGCCAGCTACCCCTCTGGAACTTCAGTATGTGAACTGACGGAGAGCTGCAGACAGAAACCCTCCTGCTTCCCACACACAGAGGTACAGCATGGAACACAACATGCAGAGCAGAAAGCAAGAGCGAGAAAGGAGCAGGGCCAGAAAGTCAGCCGCGGACCCAGGAGTGCCCAGGAGCGCCCGGTGGGCGGGCACACGAGAGGCAGAGGCTTAGAGCTGGGAGGCTGTATACACAGAGAGCGAGGGCCTGCGTGGGAACACCCAGAAAGGCAGGACCTGGGGCAACTCCACAGCAAAGCCACAAGGCCTGCTGGGCTGTGCAAGGGCACACATATCTCAGGATTCATAAACACAGGTTCATTTGCCCCGGGTTCCTGTTCAGATGGGAATGATCTTCAGGGTTTAGAAACCCCAGCAGGAAACGAACAAACAGCCATGCTGTGATCCTGGAGTCTGTCGCTAGCAGGAGGGCGCACTGAATCCAAACCGGATGGCTACAGCCTCATGAGGGCCAGCCAGGGACTACAGATACAGCACAGCACAGACCTTATATACACAAGCGTCACATATATGTCATGTCCAGGCCCAGAGCACATCACACACACCACACTCACATACCAAATACACACCCACAGCACAGGTTTTATACACAAGTCATACACATGCCATACACAGTGTCATGCACATCACATACACCATATACAAACCACAGTTCAGTTCTCACACATGCATGTCACACTCATGTTACACAGTTACTCACACATTACACACACACCTCATACATACTCAGCACACATTCTACATACATGTCATATTCTAGATACCACATGAATACTCAGCACAGGCCATATACATACCTGTGGTGCTCACACACAGCACATACATATCGCCTCCCACACATAACACTATGAACTCACACACATTATGAACTCACACCCAGCCCCAACTACTACCGGCTCACACACACGTCACACCTCACCACTATGGACTCACACACCTATCATGCCCCCCCCACTATGAACTCACACACCCATCATACACCCTCTATACAAAATTTTCAGACACAATAAACATCAGGTTGAGACCCTCCCCCACCCAAGGATTTCTAAAATCAATTCTCAAGACTTAAACACATAGGGTATAGTAAATACCTAAAACGACAGCATGGGAAGAAAATTGGTAGATTCTATGAAGAACTGGAAAGGACCAGTCTCCCCACAGAAGATGACAGATAGCAGGACAGCTCTGGGGAAACCCGTCTTTTTGTAAATCTGTGACTTGTGCACAGCACAGGCATAGTGCTGGGCTCCCTCGGCTCACCGGGAAGCATCCAGGCTGGGCATTGTGGTGGTTTGAATGGGAATGGTTCCCATAGGCTCCTATATCTGTCCCAGCCACCCAGCCTTCCACACACCCCTACTGCCTAGGCTGCTGAGGCTCTTCCCTGCTTGGCCATTCCTCCAACACTTTTGCCATAAATTTTCCCCAAGCCAGGCATAAATGAGAACCTGAGGTAACCGGGGACAATCCGCACAGTGAATAACAAGGTGGATGGAGTCACCGCAGTGACAGCGTGGGGCAGGACCATTTGTCAGTGCCTGGATGAATAATGGGGCAACCCCACAAACACTCAGGTCCACATCCCCAGGCACAGCATTGCTGGGCCTGCCTCTCTGGCCTTGGGAGCGCTCCTGGCCACAAGGCCCAGCTCTGGCCCATGAAGGTT